TTTACTCATTTATCCATTAATTCAAAAAGATTTATGATGAAGCCTATTCTATTCTAGGCATAGTAGATGAAAAAAAATCCTCAGATTTTCTATACTTCAGGAGCCTACCTTGTGGTTTGATAAATCTAAACAAGCAAATAAGCAATTATCTAATTTTAATTTCCATTAAACACTATTAAGGCCTTGGGATGTTATGACAAAGAATAACGGCTGAGGGACACATCTTAAATAGGTTAGAGAGGTAAGGATGCTTTGAGTAGGCAAAGCTTACACTGAGGACTGAAGGACAAGATGGAGCCAGCCACATGAATGCCACAGGGAAGAGATTTTGAGACTGGCTAGCTCGGTGAGTGTGAAGACCCAAATGCAAATTGAGTAGCTGAAGTAGAGTGGGCAAATGGGAGAGCAGAATGTGGAGAGATCTGAGAAATCTGAAGGGGTGGGACGACACAGTCATGTAAGAGCTTTGGGTTTTATTTGAAGTGTAATTAGATCCTTAATGCTAACCCTAAATGGAGTTTTAGACAGTAATATAACAGAGACGGAATTAGATATTTTGAAACTTCACTCTCTCTCCTGTGTGAAGAACGGGTTTATGTGGAGCAGGAGAGGAAGCTGGGAGTCTAGTAAAGCGGCCATCGATGTGGTAGAGGAGAAATGGAGGTAACTAGACTCTAAGCTTACCAGCCTAAAATCTTAGACTGATGGGATCAATGTGTCGATAGACTTCAAATAATTTGTTTTCCTTCTAGGCTGGGTCATGCTAATCACATTCTCATCTTAGACATGAGTTAGGTTTATGAACAATGAGATATCATATTGCTAAGGAGAGAAACACCTGATTTTTTCTGTAGATTATCAAATTTTCTAAAAATAAAAATAATAGTAAAATTAATCTGAACAGTTGGGGAAAATGTGGAATCTCTTCCCAGCACACCCCTCCCTTTCTTCTTCCTGCCACTTCATTTTGCAATATGTTCAGGCAGTAATATTTACAGAGCTGATGGTTCTTCCAGAAAAGCAAAAGAAGATAGAAAAGCAAAGTATTTCCTAAATAATTCCAACAGAAGAAATGGAAAGAAGATTTGTATTTATGGATTAGTTTCTACTTTCCAGACATAATGAAAGGCATTTTATGTGTATGTTTTTGTGTAATTTTGGCCCCATCACTCAGATGAAGAACTAGATGATTCTCCCATGGTCACAGGTAAAACCCTACCTTTGAGACACCAAATCTCAAGCCTTTATCACCTTACCACACAGTTAAGCCACTTAAGTCATAGCCGTATTTTATTCTTCTAGAGGGTTACTCCAAAATTTCAAATTGTGGGCACCTAAATTTCCTTTTTTCTCTCCATACATTTGGGTTGGACAGTAGTGTATAGTGGTGGTTAGACTAGGAAAGACCTACAGGATAGCAGGGAAGTGAGATTAGGGAGAAAGAAAACTAATAAAGTTTGCATTATCAACCAAGATACCATTGTGGGCAACTGGAGTTGAGGTGAAACTTGCTAGGGAGCTCTGGGAGACTATAGAACTCAGAGTTTATTCTACCTAAGGGGGATGGAAGCTGGCATATTTGTATATCTGTTCTCATCAATCTTCAGTTGAGGATTGCTCTTGCAATGGGGAGGAACATTAATTCCCTGACATTTCTAGCATTCCGTGCACACAAAAAGCGTTGGCTCGACAGCCAGAGATTCTGACAAGAGATACAGGTGCTGCTAGTAGGAAGACAAGCACATATGCACTTGGGTAAATAAGGACAAAAGCTATACACCAAAATGTTAACACTGTTATTTCTTGATAGTAGGATAACGGACAATTAGTAATATATTCTTTTTATTTGCCCATAATTTCTGAATGTTTTACAATAAATATGTATTACCTGTGAAAAAGGGATAAAACAAGACAGCTGAAGGATATTTTTTCCGAAAACTTGGGCATCATTCTCTAGGTACCAGGATATTCAGAGTAGATACTTAATATATACATTTTTACTTAAAAGAATTGGCATTTCCATTCAGGTCTTCACATCCACTGAGGGAGCCAGGCTGTTGTTCTTTTCCCCATGGCATTCACATGGCTGGTTCCTTCTTGTCCTTCAGACTTCAGTGTAAGCTTCCCTTACTCAAAGAATCCTTACGTCTCTATCCTATTTAAGATTGTCCCTAACCATTACTCTCTATCATAACATCCTGAGGCCTTAATAGTGTTTAGTGCAAATTGAAGTTTGATGGTTGCTTATTTTCTTGCTTAGTCTTTGTCAAGCCATCCTGAAGTACAGAGAATCTTGAACAATTTTTTTTCACCTAGAACTGTGCCTGGCATATAGTAGGCATCATAACAAATATTTCTGAATTAATGGGTAAATGGATAAATCGTGAAGTATTTGAGGGTGAGAAGGTTTTCCAAAATAGAAATGGTCAAGAAATTGAAAGCGAATATTTAGTATATCATATAGAAAAAACAGTGGATATTGTTGAGCCTTTTTTGAAGACCTGGATCTTCCAAATCTGTCCCTCTGATTATCTTGCCAGAGTGGACATTGTGGCTTTTATTGCTGGTCTCACTCCAAGGCCATTAAATAGCAAAGCCAAATCCTGGAGAACAGAAGACAGTAACACAGTCCCATTATCCTTCTTGAGGTCTGTTTCCTTGACTCCAGCTTCTTGCACCATGCCCAGCTCACAGCACCCTTGCCTTCTCCAACTCTTCCATGCCCAGCTCTCCCCAGGGTTGCTCAATCTCCAGACCTGCTCCACTTCTTGTCTTAAAGCAGGTGTCTGAAGGTTAGAAACTTGCTCTATCACTACTTTGCCGGGGCTTGAACATTAGCCACTGTTTTCCATTACTCTAGAATCTTCTTGAAAGAGGCAAAGTATGGCAAGTTATTAAAAGCTATAATAATCAAGACAGTGTGCTAATAGAGTAAGCATAGATACATACAGCAATGAAACAGAACAGAGTCCAGAAATAGACCCAAATATATTCTTATGTCTATTTTATAAAAAGGTGGCAGAATAATTCCACTGGGAATTTTTTTTACAACATTACATTACTACAATCTTTACAACCAATAGAGGTAATACAAGTAGATATGCATATGGAAAAAGTGAAGGGCAACCCTTCCCTGAAACCATACCAAAAATAACTCAATATGAACCAAGACCTAACTATAAACTGTAAAATTTCTAGAAGAAAAACTTCACCATCTTGGAGTAAATAAAGATTTCATAGACATGACTAATAGCACTAACTCAATGATAAAATATAAGTGGACTTCATCAAAATTTATATGAAATATCCAGAATAGGCAAATTGAAAGAGATAGGAAACAGATTAGTGGTTTCCCAGGGCTGGGAGCAGGGGGAAATGGGGAGGGACTGGTTAATAGCTATAGGGTTTATTTTGGGGTTGATGAACATGTTCTGGAATTAGATAGCAGTGATGGTTGCACAACATTATCTATGTACTAAAAGTCAGTGAATTTTATACTTTAAAATGATGAGTTTTATATTATGTGAATTTTACTTCAATGAAAAAATTAAAGATCAGGGGCTGACCCTGTGGTTAAGTGGTTAAGTTCACGCACTCCGCTTCTGTAGCCCAGGGTTTCAGTGGTTCAGATCCTAGGCTCGGACATGGCACTGTTCATCAGGCCATGCTGAGGCGGTGTCCCATATAGCACAACCAGAAGGACATACAACTAGAATATACAACTGTGTACCAGGGGGCTTTAGGGAGAAGAAGAAGAAAAAATATTGCCAACAGATGTTAGCTCAGGTGCCAATCTTTAAAAAAAAAAATTAAAGATCATATGCTCTTCACAAGAGACCATTAAAAAAATGAAAAGTCGACCACAGAGTCAGAGAAAATATTTGCAATACAGATAATACATATAGGATTTCTATCCAGAACGAGACACCCTATGTAGAACTAAATAAAAAAGTCAAAAAATACAATATATATTGAGAAAAAATAGACTTGAATTGACACTTATAAAGAAGAAAGGAATGGCCAGTGTGCTTATGGAAAGACACTCAGCGTCATTAATCATCTCACTACCTGATATATTATTTCGCACCCATTACAATGAATAATAATAATAATAATAATAACAAAAAATACTCTCACAGTAGTAATTGTTGTGAGAATGCCAATGGGAGAGTAAAATGGAAAACTCACAATATAAAAATGTTTTGAAGTTTCTCAAAACATTTAAACAGACACTTAACCCATGATCTAACAGTTTTACTCCTAGATATTTACCTTAGGAAATCATATGTCCACAAAACACTGTGTGAGAATATTCATAGCAGTTATACTCATAATAGTTAAAAACTAAGACAACCCAAATATTCATCAACAGATGAAGCCGTAAACACGTGTGGTATGTTCATACAATGGAATACTACTCAGCAATTAGAAGGAGTTAATTACTGATATAATAGCATAAATGAAACTGAAAGCATATTATTTTTAGCAAAAGAAGCCAGACACAGAAGAATACATACTGTGTGATTTTATTTTTATGAAGTTCAAAAACGTGAAAAATGAAGGTATGGTAATGGAACAGTGATTTCTTCTAAAGGGGAAGGATTGACTAAAGGGTCATGAGAAAGCTGAATAGCGTGATGAAAATGTTCTATTTTTAATTATGGTGATGGTACAAAAGTCATTGAACTGTACATTTATGATATACGATTTTTTATGAAAGCTTTCCTTCAATTAGAAAAAAATGAGTGTTCTTTTTTTAAATCTCTGCACCAGCCTATTGTAGAAATCATTCGTGTCTTTCTCTATTTTGCCTTTCTTCTTGGGTACAGTTAAATGTCAGTCCATCTATGGTACAACTCAGGTATGAGCTATTTAATAATTAATTTATCTTAGGATAAAAAATATGTTTGATCTGTTGGCCTAGAGTTAAATTCTAACATCCAATATTCTACAGAGAATTCAGGAGGTGCCATGTAGAAAGAACATGGAATTTGGAGTCACAAGGACAAGGGAGCAGAATCAGCTCTGCCGTCTATGAACTGATTTTGAAGAAAGAAATTCACCTCTCTGAGTCTCAGTTGCTTGATCTGTTAAATAGAAATGGATCCTATTAACACATAGTAGGAAAATAAACAAGGTGAGATTCATAGACTGTCAGCACCTATGCGAGTTGAAGGTCCATAAGTGATAGTTTTCCTTCCCTTTCCTGCTTCAAATTTCTAGTGAATATTTTTAATTCAATAATTTGAAAACCATGAATTGAATACTGTTTCTGATTTCCTTTTGTTGCTTTACTTTTCTTGTATCTGATGTATCTGAGGTGAATTGTTAGACAACCTTTCAACAAATATTCAAAAAACATTTATTAAGATCTCAACCCATTCCAGTCATTGGGTTCCATGATCTGAAGCAAGAGTGATTTTCTCTGTATACTCCAGTGAACATCAGCCTAGAGGATGGAGATGAGTTAACCTATCGGGGAAGACAAGTGAAGAGATGTTTTGAATGGGTGAAGAATTGAGTAGTTACCACATTTACTGTCATTATTGTTGTAGAGTCAGAAAATTACCCTGTGCATTCATTCATCAATGCACTCATTCAATCATAGCTATTCTTTTAGTCATTTATTCATTTGCCTATTTAATTTTTCAACAAATATTTAGTGAATGCCTAATATGCTATGTGCTAGATGTAATGTGAAATCGAAGCATTATTCTAAACATTTGTTTTATATTTTTAATAATCTTAGACGGAGAGAAATGTACATAGATTCTCTGATACAGCTTTGGCTGCTGCTGCCAAGTTTTAACTTTGTGAAAGGAGTCTTCTGGAATTTCTCACACTAGCATGCAATTTTCAGAATGCCAGTATTCAGGGTAAAAAATAAAAGGCTTCTGGAGGTTCCAGGGAACACAGTTTTTGGACAAACCTTAAAACGAGGAGAATGTATTGTCTCAAAAGTGAGAATATTACCATTATGATGTCAAGCCCATGGGTAGTCACTCACTTAATGCCTCCTGCCCAAGTTCCACCGGGGAACTTAGTGTCTGCAAAAGGACCTTGTTTGTTCTCAGGCTTGAAGTATTAACAAGGCTTCTTAACAATTAATTACACCCCTGTTTTACAAGTGTGAACGTTTTGATTTGTGAACTTTCAGGAGAACTTCAGGGAAATTTAAATTGCCCTCCACCAACCGCCCAGTTCATTGCCCTGCACTATGCAACTTTCATATTAAATTGTCAAATGTGAACCCCAAAGCCTGTGAGGTCATGGAATCTCTTGATTTGGGACCAGGTGTAGAGAGATGTTCAATTATTAAATAATTAGTTTGGAAACAATAACTAGTGTAGTTTAATTCTCTTGCTGATTTCCTAATGTTTATTAATTTAAGCACCTGTGTCTTCCTGTACCACTTTCCTGCAGAATGCTTACCAGGATATGCATAGCATGTAAATTTACAATGAATATAATTACTTTTGCAGCTCACTCCAGGTGCCTCAGCGAGAGGAAATGAATCATGACTTTAATTGTCAGAAAGGTTTCAATATTCCAAATATAATTGTTTAAAAATTGTTTAACTTTCTAGCTAAGTAATGATGCATTGGTATTAATTAAAACACCAAAATATGATATTTTTTAGGATAACCAAATGTTCCATTAAAGAAGATTCAGAGAAATAATTATGTAGTAAAGAGAAGTAGTTGTCTTAGCATATCTAATTTGTTCTCAGAATATTTCAAGGATGATTGAAGTTGTAGATTCATTTTTGAGCCTTCAGAAAAGTCCCTAGTTCTTTTCTTTGACCTTCCCTGTTTTACTTGGAAGTGAAAAAAACATTCATCTTTGCAGAAAAATTTCCTTTTGACACTTCAAATTCATGTTCAAAACGGAACACATTATCTTCTTTTAAGACCATCTTGATTTTCCAGCTGTATTCCTTAACTTGATAATAGTATCGCCATTCCCCATCTAACTAAATCAGAACGTGGAAATCATTCTAGGTTTCTCTATCTCCCTTAAGCCCCACATCTATTAGTTACCAAGTTCTGGTCACTTTTCCTCAGATACATCACCAAATTCCCAACGTTGTTGCTCGTGACCCTCATCTTACCTGGCTTAGTCCATCCTGGTTGCGTTTTCCGGTTAAGGAGTACTCTCCTCTCTCCAGGATCCAGGCTATGACCTTCAGCCATCGTCTGCATATCAGAGTTATTTTTCTGAAGGGCAATTTAGAACGAGAGAAGAAGAAAAGGCATGTTTTAAATATGGGTTACTAATGAGTCCAATCTAATAAGAATGGGAGATGATTTTAAAAGATGAAGGGAACACATATTGGCATTTTGAAACTATTCCAGGGATCAACTATTTATGGAATCTGATTCACCAGAAAATTATCAAACCAGTCATTTCGTCTGTCCACACGTGTAAAATGAATAGCTTTTATGGATACTAACAAAAATAACAAGGTAAAAAGTAAAAAAGTGTGTCTTCCTAGCATTGAAACACCCATGTAATTCCCCTAATTTTCAATTATTTGTTCATACAGAGATAGTAAAAGACATACAATCTTATGGCATAATTATGGGCAGGTCACCCTTAATCATTCTTTCACAATTTCTTCCTGGGCTTTAAGGTCAAATAGTGGATATATGTGTAAGAAGGTAAATCTGTTAAAGTGCCCTATTAGCCCAAATCGATTTGATAAAGACTGACTGAATTTTGACCAAAACAGAAAGAAAAATGTGTAAAATGATCTTTTAAAATGTCCATTACTTCAATGGGAGTTTGGCAGGGGTACCCCATTGTGTGGTATGACATATATTACTCCACTCGTAAGAGTGTGTGTTAAACTGGCAGGAGATAAACAGCAGGATTGAAATAAGAATGAGGTTGCCTGCATTCAGCATTTCTTAGAAACATAATTACAGCATCATTGAAGCATGAAGGTAGCCGTACATATTTGCAGCCACTATAGTCAGTGTAATTGGCCTTCCATTTCCTCTGCTCTCCCTCCTTCAGTTAAGATATTAGGAGTGTTTCTGCTGGAATGATACAGTTAATGCTCATTTGTTCTCTTCATGCTGTTAAATCATGTTGTTCCTCTCCTCTGCTCATATTGCTACAATATTATATGATGGAGCTTGCAAAGTAGACACAACTGTCAAACTTTCAGGTTTTCTACCAGAATAAATAGAGTCCATAAAATAAAGAAAGGAATATAAGACTCGTTTTCGTTGATGTTATTCTCTCTTTTGGCATTTCTGGGCTCGCTAATAAATATCCACCTGATTAGTTCCACTCTTCTTGAGCACATTGGCTGTCTCCAGCAGCATTAGCATTCTGGAGGGCTGGCCAGAGACGTTGCACAAGTATGAAAGACTGTTTGGAGACAAGAAAAAGGAAAAGTACTTGCAAATTGCTAGGGTTAACTAGGGCAAATTCTAAGGCAGGATGTCTCAAACTTACTTCCTCATAGTCATTCTACCAAAGAAAGCAAATGCAGTCATGATGGAATAAAATATCTTGCTTTTGTTGAAAATACCATATATAGTAGATTTACAAAGATTATTTTCATGTAGTTACCTTTAGCCTCGACAATTCAAAAAAAAAAAAAACCTTTCTATGAAACTCAAGTCTTCAAGTTGCTCTTTTGTTTCTTAAACAAGAGTTAAGATGCTAAGTCTTAAAATGCTACCATGGACTTCATTTAAAGAAAAAAAGGTGCATATTTATCATATTATATCTGATGATAATGAAACATTGGTCCTGTGTCTACATATTTAGTAGTATAATTTTTTATCAAAAGTTATCATGTGTATAGAGAGATTTTTTTCTCCCTTAATTAGCTCCAGGGGTATAAAGGAATATCACCCACCTAATATGCTAGTAATTTAAACTCTATATATCCATCCAATTAGATAAATGGGTAACATTAGACATCAGCTGAGATACTTAAGAAAAGTCCTTTACTTAGGTGTATTTTGATCTCATCTTTGGTGTGTGGTTGTTGTAAGAATTAATCATTTTAAAACTACTTCTGTCCACAATATCATACAGTCTCACCCAGCAGGATTTTACATTATGCATTGCTTTTTACTTTAGTGCCAGGAAAAACTTTAGCTTTCCTTAGGAATTGATATACTTCCTTGTTTCAAAAGAGAGGTAAGTAATTCAGACATGGAAATGCATTACAATCACTGGCCTTCTTTTGACTATCCAACATCTTACCCATCTTATTGTCATAACAAAAAGATCTTTTTTGAGGAGTTTTCTTCATCACTGGATAGAGTATGAACCTTTAACCACATGCCCTGCTCTCATGTAGATATGTCAAATTGATGGTTACTTGCTGAAATATGAATAAATCTTGAGCTGTGCAATAAAAATACTGAAAATCGTTGGACCTCATTTAATTTAACAGCGTAATAGATTTCTTTACTTTGATAGAGTGAGGAGCCCAGTTCCTGTTCTATTTCTGGACCTAATTTATTGTCAAAATATAAGGTATTCATTATCCCTCCAATTAATTCAATGTTTCCATAAGTTGTCCAGATCCAATGTTTACAGTCAAAGAACTCGCTTAGGTAAGTTGGTGCAATGGATCAACATAGTGTTTGAATTGTCTTTGGCTCTCTTTCATCAATTCTTTTTAGCCTCAAAATCAATATACATCCTTCCATATTTTTCTGTTACTGATTTTTCTATGTTTATTTATATTTTTGTTAAGTATGTTGTATTTGTATTACATTAGTTATAAATCTACTCAGGTTGACTTTGGAGTCAGGATATTAAAAAAAATTTAAAAGTCTTTAGATACTTTTTAAGTATATCATATATTTTATGGTTTAATATGTCATATATTTAACGATTCAAGTAATTTTACAACATGATCACTTTTTTCTTAAATATTGAGAAAAAATGTTGATCAATAGAGAAAGTCACTGAAGAATTAAAGTAAGGAAAAATTATAATAGTGACATAATACAACTACTATTTTCTCTTAATTACAGTTACAATGGTGATTAAGGGTCTCAAACCAGGAAGACAGGAGACAAATCAGATCATATTACAGGTTAGTTCTGCATCTGGCCATGATGTGCTAACAGGGCCTGGACTTATCCTCCTGTAGTGAATACTGAACAAAATATATGAAATAATGTTTTCAAACACTGAAAAAAACCACTATAGAATTGTAATCCCTGGGAGAAGGGAAATAAACCAGCTGAACCCTGTGAGGACACCGATTTCATTCCTGAAGCCATGTTCTAGACCACGGTGCTTGGGGAGAAATCCTGAGCACAGCACAATGGTTTATTGAGGTGAAAAGACAGGTTTGACTTCGGGGAGACTGAGGCAGATGGAAGCTGCAGGGCAGAGCTGTGGAGAGAAAGGAGCTGTGCAGAAAATGACCTGTGGTAATTTGCATAGGAGTCTCCTTGATATTACTCAGTTGTCCATGTGGACATCAAAACTCCAAAGGGCCAGGCAATGAGGAACTGGGGCGCTGTAAACGGAATAATTCATCAAGTTCACCTGGGCGGTGGTGTGTATGAATTCTGACCAGCCATCCCAGAAAGATCTCTTTGATCACTCAGGGCATTCAGTGGATACCCCAGAGGTGTCACATCTTAATATACACCTAAACTTCTCTAGAATAAAGGTTATTCCAGACCCGTACTAAAAATATTAGAAGCAAGATTGGAAGGATCAACTGTTTGTTACGTAAATGATCCGTCTGCCATAGAAAAGTTCAACGCCGCTTAGAGGAAGACAATAAAATCCAGACATTCAACAATGACCAGAATCCAATAAAATATTACTAAACATGCAAGAAACATATGACCCAAATGGTGGGACTCAAGATGTGACCCATAACTGGGAGAAAAATCAGTCAATTGAAACAGATTCAGAAATGAGAGTGTTAATGGAATTAATACACAAGGACTTCATAAACGTAATGAGAAAAAATTTGTTTTATAATTTTTTTGTTTTTGTTTATAGCAGCTTTATTCAAAATAATGTAAAACTGAAAACAACTTAAATAATAAATTGTCGTGCATTCTTACACTGAAAGTCTACCCAGCAATAAAATAAACAATTGAAATGGATAACTCTTAAACACATTAGACTGCGTGAAAGAAGCCAGGCACAAAGGAGTACATACTCCATTTATATTATATTCTAGAAAAGTCTAATGCAAACTGTAATGACAGTAAGCATATCATTGGTTGCCTAAAGCCAGGGATGAGTAGATTTACTGGGAAAGGTACATACTGTGTCTTGATTGTGGTGATGGTCAAACAAGGGACTACATTTGTCAAAACTCACTTAACTACACTTAAAATGGATGCATTTTATTGTATGTAAATTGTACTTCAAAAATGTTAATTTTTGAAAAGACTATGGCAGAAAATTTTAGAAGATGTTGGAAAATAGTGGTAGCATGCATAGTTATTGAATTTATCTGAATATCCCCTCTCTCTCATAAAAACACACAAAGAAATGAAGAAACTAGGATAGCAAACCTGAAAACACACAATAACATCTACAACAAAACTAGATGAGATGTAATCCGCACAAATCCAGAGTTACAAACTGGTATGGACCACCTGCGCAGAACCTCAGGTTTCGTGTGGTATCAGGGTCTGTGTGGCAGAGTGCAGAGGATGTTGCCTGTGTGTCTGATGGCCATGAGATAGGAAGTCCCAAGTCACCGACAATCCGTTATCATTAAATGGGGAAGGCCAATCCCAGAGCAGCAGTTGGAACTGGGAGGGAGTTTTCATGGTCCAGACAACACTCATTGTCAAGAAATTACAATGTGATCAGACGGAAGAGTGCTGGAGAAGTCTGGGCCTATTAACTGAAGTTTCTTCTATGACAAAGCCCTAAGTTGAGGAAAAACTGCTGTTGAAAGAATCCAAATTGAGCAGGACAGGGACCACTGGGGAAAGAGAGCAGTCTAGATAAGAGTGGGGGCTGGGGAGCTGAGTAGTAATTCTCACAAAATTAAAAATGAAACAACGGTAATAGCAAAACTATTACATATCAGAATTTATAGTATAGCTAAACAGTGCTCAGAGCACATGCATCGCATCTAGTATCAATAGAAATGAAGAAAAACAAATTAAAGATTCAACCCAAAGATCTAGAAAAATGAACAATGGCAGCCACAACAAAAAGAGAAGAACTGGAATTAAGTACAGGTAGAAATAGTGGATTATAAATCAGAAGAAGAAAATATTTAATGCAATAAATTAATCCAAAAGCTGGATCTTTGAAATTAAAAAAAAAATCAAACCATTAGCTAATTTGAGAGACACAGAGAGAGAACAAATACGTAAAGTCAGAGGAGAGAGAAAAATTCAGACACGTAGAAATAACAAGTGGGAAATAACCACCAAACTAGATGAATTTTAAAAAGTTCATCCCAAGAGACTATTTTACATAACTCTATGAACTCTATTTAACAAGGTATCAGAAATATTAGTCAATACACTTCACCATGAGAAAGAAATCAGAAACAGAGGTGAGAAAAGAAGAGGTAAAATACTGGTAAAACCCAAAGAATCACTATATAAACTATTGCAGCTTTTAAGATAATATAATAAAGTAGCAGTTTATAAAAACCTGTAATTTCTTATATAAAACTCAGTTATATTATAATGAAATAATTTTCAATAATTAAATAAATATAATAATTAAATTACAAAAATAAAACAAAATATTTAAGTGTAATCTTAATTTGACCTATCCAAAACCATTATGGGGAGAGGAAACAAGAAAAGATTTGGACAAATGAAGACTTTTCATGTTTTTGGATAGGAAGACTAAACTATGTAAGATAACTCTTTCCTTTAAATAATTTAATAAATTTTAAGTAATTCCAGTAATGATATCTGTTTTTTTCTGGAGCTAAAGTTGATTATAAAATTAAGTTGAAAGAGCATAAAAATAAGAAAAAATAACAACAATATGCAAAAAAAAAAGGAAGAAACTGGAAAAGAAGATAGAGTGGAGTGGGGTGGTGGGTAGACCCATCAACCTGTAAACCATTGTACCAAAGCCTTTATTATTACAACAGGTTCATTTTGGTGGGTGAATAGCCCAGATAGGACACTGGTGCACATTTCCTAGATCCAGTAATTCATTAGGTGCTACAAAATAGTGCTATTCTAATTTTTTCACTCCTTCCTCATTTCCTAGAAAACTTCCACATAGAGAAACTTTCTCTCACTAATTATGGTTATGCAGAGGTAGAAAAGTCACACTAAATCTTAATTTTTTCCTTTTTCTTACCATTTTGAAAAATTATGAGTTGGTTTCTAACATGCTACCAAGGTGATCAATGAGTTTTTTAGGTTATTCTTAACTCATCAATTTATACATATATGCGTGTTCCAATCCATTGCATTTATTGTCGTTATTGAGTCTCAGATTCTCCTGTATTTGGCCAGTGCGCATCTATTCAGATTGACTCTTGAGTCCTTTGACAAGACCCAGTAATTTTCAACAGTTTTCTTGCTTTCTGATATGATAAGATATCCCAGGTTTACCCTGAATATATCTTGTCCTCAGTCATGAGTCAGCCATTTCTCCAAGGAGTCCTTATTCTATTCAGCGGGATGTAGTATTTATAGGCTAATATCTTGAGTGTTAAGGCATTGCCACTAGGTTGTTCTAGGTCTGTGTAGAGTGGATGAAGCTAGAAAATACATAAATAAAAATATATTGAGAGTATATGCTGATATTCCAATTGAAATTCAGGAAAACAGTGTCATTAAATAACATCATCAAGCTTAAATCTTTACCTTCTTTCATTTTCGATTAAAGTCTTGATTCTCAAAAATTCTACCAACTTGTTCATTTACTTTGACATACATAACCAATCACTGACAAGACTCATGCATAATAGTCTCAGAATAGCAATACAAACACTATCACCAATAATATGATTGTTGAAAATTGTTTGAATTTTAAAGCTTTTTATCAGTAGGTTTATCTCATTAGAGATGTATAGTCCAATTAAGGTTTTAAAATCTCATACGATAGTTCCCCTCTGTGTGGCTGTGTTAAAAATTGAATACAAAATTAGCTTCATTTTTTTTTCATTTTATTTTAAATGTTAAGAATTTCTCTTTTTAAATTGAATTTTGTTTCCTCTAAGGCATGATATATTTACATGGTCCCAGAGTCAAATCTATAAACCAAGGTATATTAAAAAATATGTAGTTTCTATTTCTCTCTTCTTCACACTATACCCTCACTCCCTCTATAGTTTGTTTAGTTTAGCTTAAAATTAAGCAAACTTAGCCTTAAATCTAGATTTATCTTTTCATCATTTTTAAAAAAATGTAACCAAATATGTTTGTATGTATACACACACACACACACACACAATGTATCTTCTCAGATGAAGTGTAGCATATTAGTATTATTTCCACCTTGATTTTTCCACTTAATATTTCTAAACATCAAGTTGTGGTAGTAAATGGAGATATGCCTCATTTTTTTTATTCCAGATGTGTAGTAATCCATTGAAAGGATGTCTCAGGATGGATTTAAGAAGAGCTTTGCAAATGGCCATTCAGGGTAGTTTCTGGTCTTTCACTATTAGAAGCAATTCTTCAATAAAGAGACTTACACATTTGTCTTTTTGAATGTTTTTTTGGCCAACGTGTTATTAGGTTAGATTCCTAGAATTGGAATAATTGAGTCAAACGGGAAATATATGTGTGATTTTGCTCAATACTGCCAAATTCCCCTTCCTACTTTCTCTCTAGCAATGTGTGAAATACCTATATTCCCATAGCCACAAACAGAACAAGTTGTCAAACTTTTTCCACCAGTATCATAGATGAAAAATGGTACCTCAGCATGGTTTTAAATTCTATTTATCTTATTATGAGTGAGTTGAGCATTTTTCAGAAGGTTATGGGTTATTTGCATTTCCCTTTCTGTAAACTCCCTCTAATATCTTTAGTCCACTTTTCTCTACATTTCCTAGTGCTTTCTTCTCTATCTTTTAGAAGCTCTTCATATGTTAGGGATATGAATTCCATGTGGCAAGTAGTTTTCCAAGTTGGCCATTTTTTTAGTGGCTTGAGGCACATAATCAAAAGAAAGATTATCAGACGACGTAGATCTGAAAACTATTAATCTGATCAGGGCTCTAGATATAACCTCAATCTTACCACAGAATTTTAATCAATGAAATGAAGATTGGAGAAACTCCATAAGGTAAGTAACACAGTTTCAGAAACAAATAAAATGATGCAAATAATGAAACAAATAAAAAAGTGATGCAAGAAAAACGTGCACATGTTAAAAGAGAATTGAGACATATTAGCCATTCACAGTGAATGGATTTTATTTCCATCACAATTCAAATAAACTTTCCAACAAGCAAATTCACCATTTAGAAAACAAATGGAGAAGTATGAATATTTACTGGATATAATTCAGTGGGCAAGACTAGTAGACTCCACTGGAATTGCAGCCATAGGCATGGGAGAAAGAAGACAATCATAGAAGATAGCCAAGAGAAAGAATTAATCAATTAATTGTAGTTGGGGACTGATAGAAGATACTAGATTTGAAAACTTCAGAAAATTGTTTTATCACAAGGATTGAGTCAGTATATTTTGGAGACTCACAAAATACATATTGCTTTTAGTTGCTATAAGGAAGTAAAAATATGTGTCCTCCAACACGCCATCATAGCATACTTTCAAAATGTTCTTTTCCTAAGAAATGATATACTGATAAAATTATTATCCAATATTTACTGATTATTTTTAAAAAGTCTTATTTCAATGTTCTAGTTCTTGAGGAGTCTTTGAAGCAATGAGAGGAGTGTAATGAGAATGGATCATAATTCCTAAGAACTGAAAGACATAAGGACAGAAAGAAGAGAGAGAGAGGGAGAGGCAAAGGGGGAGGGAGGGGGAAAGGAGAGGCGAAGGGAGAGAGGGAAGGGGAGGGAGAAGAAGAAAAAGAGAAGGAGGAAAGGGACAGAGAGAGAAGAAGGAAGGAAGAAAGGGAGGGAGGGAGGAAAGAGAGGAAGGAAGGGAAAGAGAAAGAAGGTTGTAAATATCAGTCAGTTACTCTTTGCCTCCTGCTTTTGATTGTGTGTGTGCACATCTGTGATCATATGTGTGCTTTTGCACGTCCACAAATTCAAGCTATGCCTATGGAAAATTTCACATCAATGTTGAAAGGAACCGAGTCTATAAGAAAAGGTACAATCTGTTCGGGATGTCAGCAGTCTGGTTCAGGAATTTGGCAGGCTCCAGCCTCCAGATAGCATATTCCTACTCAATTCCATTTTGTGTTCCCCTCAAAATCCTGCACATACCTCCCCACATGTATATAATTATTTGTGTATATTAAACTCAGTAAATGAGTATACTAGTACTCTACCATCATACTTTGCTGATTGCTAAAGTGTTGGAGTAACTCCCAAAGCAATTACCAAACTCAAAGAATATGGACGAATAAAACGACTTTACAGATATAGGACAATGCAAAACATTTTTCTCTTGTTTACTGTATCCTCTGAAGAGTTATAAATATGTCCACAAAAGAGTATGTGATCAGAAAAAATAGCAAAATTCTTTGTTTATAACGTCTACCACAGAACACACATTATACAACAAAATATGTAATGTTTTTCCAAAAAAAGTAGAAAGTGAAATCAGAGAATGGGAAATGCGTCCTTTCATCTTCCTTTTTTGACCATAATATTGAATATGATGAACAACCTCTGGATTTATTGATTTTGTGATTGTTGAACTTAACAAAAACAAGGTAAATATTTCTCTTCCATTGCATATGATTTTAAAAACATGCCAAACAATTTGCCTCAGCTCAATTATTCTGTGGATTATGAAAGCATTTTAAGTAACAAGCAAAAAGTTCTGGGGGTCTGCCCAGTGGGGTAGCGTTTAAGTTCATGCACTCTGCTTTGGCAGCCTGGGGTTCACAGGTTCAGATCCCGGGTGTGGACCTAGCACTGCTTGTCAAGCCATGCTGTGAAGGCATCGCACATAAAATAGAGGAAGATTGGCACAGATGTTAGCTCAATGACAATCTTCCTCAAGCAAAAAGAGGAAGATTGGCAACAGATGTCAGCTCAGGGCCAGTCTTCCTCATACACAAAAAAAGTTCTGTTTGTGAACTTTTGTAAGGGGACATCAATAGAACCTTTTCAATGTATCACAGGAAAAAAGGAGTATTATACAGGATACAAAAAGCTTCCTCCTGCAGTTAATCTAATGGTCATAACTGTAAATGATATTAGAAATTGCATATATTAAATTAAATCTCACAAGCTCTGAATTTGCTGCGGGCAATTTAAAATGGATTTCCTAGTTCTTCCCTGGGGGACATGGGTGGGGGCTGTCTCACCCCCAGCCTATCTCCTCACCATCCATCATTTCAAAGAGACATGTATCGCCTCCAAGTGCTTTAAGGCAGCTGCAAGCAAGTGTCACTTTGAGTTAAATGCATTATTAAACTGTTGGGAAATTTCACATCACGGGTCATTTATCTATGCTAAATTGGGTCAAAAGCCTCTGCACAGGCCTAGATAAATGAGAGAGAAGAGCAAAATTCTCCTTTGGGAAGTAGTACTTTGACAAGCTCTATGAGTGTGGCTTATTTATTTATTTATCCAGTAGCCACGGGCAAAGGAGTTTCCGAGTTTGTGTGTGTGTGTGTGGTTATTTTAAGAGGTAATCAAACACTGTACAGAAATTGTCTTCTGTGATAAATAGAGTTAGATATTCACCACCCCCTAATGCCTCTGGAATTAGATGTTGTGGCAAGCATAAATCATGAAATATTTATTCATTTGACAAACATTTGAGCATGTTCCGTGTGTCGTGCTCTGTATAAGAAGTAGAGTGCAAAAATGAATTTTTAGGTGTAACTCTAATCCAGATGCTTTTCCAGCATGTTGGGAAATACCTAATTACCTTAGTGGGTTTACATAAAAAACGCAAGGATACAGACAAGAGATTAGATCCTTGGAGTTTAAAGAGGGCAGCAAAGGGGGTGTGACCTGAGTGGAGGCTTCAGGGATGAGCGGTTATTTGCCAGAGGAAGAAAGTCCCCAAGTCCAGCTCCAGGATGAAAAACAGTAGGCAGTCAGAAAGTAGGAGAGAAGAAGGTATGAATTTATGGTGATGGTATAATTAATCTTCCAAATTAGGACATTTTATGGAATCAAAAAGGGCTCGATTAATCATTAAGCTGGAGTAACAGACATTAACCAAATCTGTCCCAGGCAGGTTGAGACACATCGTTAATTTAGGTGTGTTCCTATCTTTGCAGTACCTTAAATGCTGTTGTCAAACCCTTTGTAAAGGTAATTCAGTTACAATAATGTGAATGTAGTTAATGCCACTGAATTGTGCACTTAAAAACGGTTGAAATAGTAAATTTAACGTTACGTATATTTTGCCACAATTTAAAAAGGCTATTCACAACCTTAGGCACGTGGGCACATTGTTTTAGGCAAACATTTACCAAGCTGTTATGAAGGTGCATAGAGGAAACAGTTAAATATAAATTATTTTGATTTAATGGACTTCTTTATTTTCTTTTTGTTTCATTGGATCTTTGATATTCTACGAAATTGAGGAATTTTGTGATTTCACGTCTATTATTTATCTCATCAAATCTTTTTTTCCCCCCAAAGATTAGCCTCTGAGCTAACATCTGTTGCCAATCTTCTTTTATTTCCTTCTCCCCAAAGCCCCCCAGTACATAGTTGTATATTCTAGATATAGGTCCTTCTGATTGTGCCATGTGGGAGGCCACCTCAGCATGGCCTCATGAGTGGTGATAGGTCTGTGCCCAGGATCCAAACTGGCGAAACCCTGGGCCACTGAAGTGGAGCACGCAAACTTAACCACTCAGCCATGGGGCCTTCCCCTCATCAAATCTTATTGTTCACCATTCAAGTATCTGATATATAGAGAGAGAAAAGAAAGAAGTTAGAGCAGAGACCTGTAGACAGTATTTTCCTGAATGATTAAATCTTTCATATTTTACTTAACAAGCATTTATTGAGCATCTAATGAATATTTTTATCATATTGTCTATGGTATATATCACAAAAACCTGAAGTCTCGTTTGAGTGCTCAGACTTGTGAACAAATCAAAGATTGTCATATTTTGTGCCTTTATTGAGATATAATTCAGATGCCATTACAATTGACTCATTAAAATGTAAAATTTAATACTTTTTAGTATATTCACAGAATTGTCAACCATCACCAAAATCTAATTTTATAACATTTGCATCACCCTAAAAGCATCTCTATATCTATCAACGGTTACTCCCCACCCACCCCCACAGATATTCAATCCACCCCTCAGCAACTGCTAATCTACTGTCTGGCTATAAAGATTTGTCTGTCCTGGACATCTTGTATAAATATAATCGGACAAAATATGGTCTTCTGTGTCAGACTTCTTTCACTTAGCATGCTTTCAAGATTCATCCATGTTGTAGTATGCATCAGTACTTCAATCCTTTTTATTATCAAACAATAATCCATGGTATGGATATATCGCATTTTATTAATTTATTAGTTTGTGGACGTTTGGGTGGTTTATATTTTTTGGCTGTTACAAGT